ATAACAGGCAGGGCTGTAGAACGTGAGAGCCGTCCCCAAAGAACAGCCTCCTTTTACAGGGATGTTTGTGTGTGTCTGTGTGTGCGTCTGTGGATCTCCACATAACACAGCTATATTTCAGAGAGATGGAACAAAGCTTCACACAGCCAAATAATTCATGATCCTGAGATGCACAAGAATACCAAAAGAGCATGAAAGCCAGAAACGGACCATCTGAAATCGTAAAGGAGAGAAGAAATCTTTCATATTTATTGCATTACCTGCCCCCCTAAATCTGTGCCTCTACATGCATGCAGACAACTGTATTCAACATTGGTGCATGGATGTGAATTTGAGGGACTGGAATGTTAAAATATGTAGCCTCTTAATATTTAAACACACCATATGCACTTTATATGCTCCTGCTACTCAACCGCAGACCCAGCATTCCAAATGCCCATTTCTCAGGAGTGTGAGTGTTGGCAGATGAACTACACTTTATAGACTTGTTGCTAGCTTTCCATGACCATTGTGGCTCTTTCGCAAAGACTGTTTGCTGTAAAGGGCAGCCCTTGTCAGAAGAGAAGGGCCATGAAGCCCCAGGGCCCAGAAGTCACCAGCCCCAGCCCAGTCACTTAGATACAGGGTCTAAAAACCAGGATGTGTGGGAAGCCAGAGGAACTGGAGGCATGGGCTGAGATGCTGCTGCTGCCAACCTTCCTTGGCCAAGGCAGAATCCATCCCTATGCCAGAATGACTTCAGAGCAGGTCAGACACTGCCATGAGGCGCATCCAGAGGGCAAGCAGGAGGGCAGAAAACACAGAACAACACGTGTTCTGCTAGCAACTGCCTGCACCAGTCAAATGGTGATAAAGAAATCAGTGAGCCTGACAGCCATTAACACACCTCGAAGCATATTTTACAAGACAGAAAACTGCAAACCCCTTGTTTTGCAAAGCCTATGCTATAGAATGCTGTGACACTTCACATCTGGACACAAGCTTGGGAGGCACTTGCATAAATTCATTTTCTTTGCTAGAATTCATTTCATTTTCTTTGATGACTTCTTTATACGCATCTCCACACCTCTGTCCATGTATAATTTCTCACTGATTAATCAGAGAATAGCCCGCACCTAGGGAACTCACTCTTCAGCAAAGGCACTGTGTGTCCAAGAGAAAAACATCAGCAAAATAAAGGAAAACAAAGCTGAATCTATGACCTGAACCATAAGAAAACAGAAGCCACTCCAAATATTTGGTCACATCAGCTTTCAGGTACCTTAGGCACTACCTAATTTGAAGAGCTCTCTTTTGTACTCCAAAGGGATCTCTTTTAAAACGTGTTGGGAAGCAGCCACCAAAAGAGATGGGCAGTGTTTCAGATGGGCTGCCTGCTACACGTCTGTGCTCTTAATGCCAACAAGAGACCAGTTGTAGAGAAAATGGAGAAACCACAACACATGGAGAAGCCAGGAGTGAGAAGCACTGCTCCTGCCTCCCCACACCAAGGGCTGCCTGCAAGGTCTGTTGGCTGCATGACGACCTTTGCGGCTCCCTGAGGATCTTGCTCAGTGGGCCTCTTCTCCTCAGAATTACAGCTACGCTCATAAATATCAGAGTGGGGACATTTCTGCCTCTGCTTGCTGCTCTAAGATCCAGTGAAACGCCGTCCATGTTTGTCAACTCATTACGCTGCCTACATACCACACTCCTGCACAGCATTCAAAGAACCAGAAGGTTGAGGTTGGCAAGGACCCTTGTGCCCACCTTCCTCCAGCCGTGCTCCAGCAGAGCCTCCAGCAGCTTGTGCACAGTATCCACCCAGGCAGCTTCTGCACATCTCATGGAGGACACCCACAACCTCCCCAGCCCTTTGTCACATCTGACCCTGTGCTCAGCACTGATATTCATGGAAACCTCCTGGGCCCCACGTTGTGCCCAGTGCTTCTGGCCCTGCTGAGCAGAGCCTGGCTCCATTCCCTTGCACCTCCCTGCAGCCCTGATGGCTGTAGGTGGGATCCTCCTAAACCACCCCTGCCCCAGGCTGAGCAACTCCAGCTCTTACAGCCTCTCCTCTTCCCCCACATCCTGCAGCACCTCTGAGGCTTCTCCACAGTTCCAGGTCTCTCTTGCACTGCGGGCCCAGCACCCAGCCCAGCTCTCCAGGTGCTGAGCAGAGGACAGGATCACCTCAAACCTGCTGGCACTGCTGGGATACCTGGACTCCTGGTTGCTCTTCTAGAAGCCGCTTCCCAGCTGGGTGCCTCCAGCACGTCCTGGTGCTGGGCTGCTCCTCCTGGGTGTGGGGTGCTGCATCTCTCCTCGCGGGGCTGCAGAGGCTCTGCCAACTTCCAGCACCCAGCTTCTCACCCAATGCTTTGGGAACATCCATCCCACTAAGGAGCGTTGGGACTTAAACATTTATAGGGAAAAAGCTGCATCATGTCATGTATTCTAGAGTATATACTTAATAAATTATTCTATGATCAGACAGCAGCAACATATCTTTTGTTTTTAAAAGATGTCAAGCCTCTAAAGCTTAATTTTCTGTGATTGCACACTATGAAAGGACTATCAGGTATATCCACTTTAATCGTTTGTGAGCTGTAAAAAAACAAAAAGGCAGAGAAAAAAGCTGCTTGCTTGAAAAAGCCATTTTGATCATTTTCAGCTCTGCACTTTAGACACTTCAAGCAACTTTTGTTTACAAATTGTGGAGGGGATGGGGCCTCACCCAAGCCCCTCTGGGCTGTATACCTCTTCCTGAAGCACTGACAGTGCTGTCAGTGCCACAGGGTCAATGCACACCCAGGGCTGCACCCCTCCCTGCACAGGAGATGTTTAAAAGAGTCGCCAGAGAAACACGGGTCATGGGACACAAATTGCAGCCCTGTACTCTCAGCAATTTACAGCATAGCGATCTGTTCTTCTAGCGATAAACCTGAAAACAAGTGGCTTCCTAAAATTAGTTTGTTGTACCAAACAGCTGCATCACAGACAGGATTCCTTAAGACTTCAATCAGCAGTGAAACAAACAGCACTGGGACAGCACAGATCAATCAAGGATCCACACAACTTGCTTTACCTCACGTTAGCACTTGGAGGCTTCTATCTGAAAGCCTCAGCATTTGAAGGATGTTTCATCCCTCACTTCTCATAAAGACGATGAGAAGCGAACACAGGGACCAGGGCTGGAGCAGGTGTGCTCCCCTCAGCTTCTCACAGCACCCCTGCCACGCTCTGCATGCTTCCCTCTGTGCTTTGACCCGCAGGAGCAGCAGCCCCTCTGTCCCACAGGCTGTCACTGCACATCCACAGCACAACAGGGTCACGCATGCATCCCATAAACCACTGCCACCTTCCCTCAACCAGGAAACGCTGACTCCAAGCCACTCTAAGGGCTCCCGTATTTCATCATTAATAATTAAAAAACAATCGGCAGATACTCTCAATGCAGAGCTGCCTGTGTGTGTGGGCCAGAGGTGCCTCCCTGCAGCCCCCACTCCCACAGCAAGGGGAGGAAGAGAGGAAAGCAGCCCGGTGCTGGGAACCCAGCTGTGCCGGTAGGACGGGGCACTGCCATCCCCCAGCTGGAGAAACCAAGAGGAGCTGGGCTGGGAGCTGTAAGGAAACACTCCTCTTTCAGCCCCTGCACTGCTTTGCCGGCTCACCAAGCCTGCACCTACATCAGCTGTCAGCGTCCAGCGCTCCAGGAACCAGCAGCATTGCTTCCATTGCTTCTCATACACATCTATGGTACAGATGTGCAACAAGGAACAGTTCTGAGGAGCACAGCGATGTGCACCCAGAGATTCCAGACACACAGCCCTACCCAACCCCACACATCTCCAGTGTGCTCTTCGGAAAGCACTTCTCTGGAGGGATTCACGCTCGCTGCCCTGTACTCTCAGCAATTTACAGTGTAACGATCTGTTCTTCTAGTGATACACCTGAAAACAAGTGGCTTTTAAGCTGCATTACCAGCTGAAAACAAACCAAACTCCTACTTGAGAGCAAGCCCACAGAAAGCGCAGGAAATGAAAAAATTAATCTTAGTGCAAGAAGAACGAGAACCCACAGACACAACACCGTGCTATTTCCCTCTAACTGCTTTGTTCCGGAGTCGAGCAGCGACTGCGCTCCGTTCAGCAGCATCTCGCTACTGAGCAGACGTTCGCCCATGAGACAGCAGCGATGTTCTGATCCCCAGAGCCCGATCCTATTTATGTAACCCACCCAGCTGCACAAACACTGAGTTTCCAAAAAACGCAGGCCCAGAAATCCGCACCGATTCCAGCTGACAACCTCCGGCAGAGAACCGTTAGAGCACCGTTCGATTCGGCACCGAGGTGCTGCTCAAGGCGATTCATTGCGCGCTAACGGCATCGAGCGCCGGCTGAGCGCGCAGCGCCCGCAGCTCCGCGCTGCCTTCGTTCCCCGCACAGCGCACAGCGCGCAGACACGGCCACCTCTCGGCTCGGCCACGGAGCGCGAGCGGGGCACGCGTGCACAGCGCTGCCGGCAGCCCTACGCGGACAGCCGCTGGATTTTCGGGAGCCGCTACAGCAGCGGCAGACAGGCCAGCGAGCCCGAATTCCGTAGGAGATGCCCCACGGCCCGGTGCAGCGGGTTTAGAGCCGTTCAAAGGCTACGCAGCCCGGCGGGCCGAGGGACACGCGGGAGGAGCGCGGCTCGGGCAGCTCCGCAAAGCGGCACAGCGATCGCACCGAGAATAGCGAGAAATCGCGTGCGGCAGCGGAACGGCGACAAAAGTACGGGCAGAGAGTTAGAACGGGAAAGCAACGAGGGCAGGACAGGGCGGGGGGTAACGCCGGCAGTCGCACGGGGACTCGGGCAGAGCGGGAACTCCGCGGCGGCCGCGGAGCGGAGCCGGACCGAGCGGCGCCGGGCGGGCACGGAGCGGCACAACGACCGAGGACGGAACGGCGGGGCGGCTCGGGACGGCCCCGCGCTCAGCACCCGCCGGCCCGAAGCCCCGACCCCCCGCCCGCTCCTACCTGAGCACGGCCGTGTCCCCCTTCCGCACCACCAGGCTGTCCGCGGCAGCCCCGGGGAAGTCTCCTCCCGGCGCGGCGAGCCGCCCGGCGGGCAGCAGGCAGCAGAGGCCGAGCAGCACGGCCGCCAGCCACTGGTGGGAGCCCCCGGCGCCCCGCACCAGCGGCACCATCTCCGCGCCGCTCCGCGCTGCCCCTGGGCCCGGCGGCGGCCGAGCGCTGCCCGTGGGCTGCCCGCGGTCGGCGGCCGAGCGCGGCGCGTGGCTGCTCCCGGGCGGCCGCCGCACCATCTACCGGGCGGGCAGCGCGCCCGCTCTGCGCTCTGCGCGCCGCGGCGGCGGGCGGCCCCCGGGCTGGCAGCCCGTTGCCACGCAGCCGTTGCCTGGCAACCGTCCTGGCGGCGGCGGGAGCGCGCGCCGGCCCGCATCGGCTCGGAGCCGTTCGGCACGGCTCGGCTGCGGGCGCCGTGCGGCCCCCGGAGCCCCGCGGTGCCCCGCTCCCCCCGGGGGATCACCCGAACGAAGTGCACCGTGCCGGCATTTTGTAACAACTGCGGAACGACCGGAGTTGGGATCCATCGAATGCAGCCCAAAATGCAACACCGCTCCTGCTGCAACACACACGCCAAGTATCTCCCTGCAGCTGCTCTAACATTTGCTAATCTTTGAGGTTTTCTTTCAAGTATTTATAACAGAGCACTTTGAAACGCGTTTGTGATCTTCAGTGATATCAGTGATATTTCTCAGACTTTGGGGAAAAGATCTTCCCAAGGTACGATGAGCTTTGCAAGTATGTGGGGCTGCTGGCAGGAGGAGGCAGAGCTGCGGGGCCACGGAGCTCACATACAGCCAGCCACAGCCATACCCTGCTTGGGTCACCCAGCACAAGGCTCGCTGTGGTAGCTCAGAGCCGATTTTAGGGAGAGCACTGTGATCTTGAGGAGTCATTTGATGTCATCTTTGCTTGACCTTAATGAACAAACAAATCATTTGCTCCTCTTCGAATAAGGACAAAAGCCATGTCTAGAATAACATTCTATTAACTTCACAAAAGACCACATAGATCTCAATCAACAACAGCCCAGATTAATTTTCATATTATTTTGTTCTCTTTCGGATTTCTGTGCCCTGGCTTTCACACTGGTTGTTGATTGACAGCAATCAGAGCACTCCAGGAAGGCAATAGCAGCTGAATTCCCTCAGCTGAGCGTCCCTGCCTGCCCCCAGGCCCAGGAGGGCAGTAGAAAACAGTGACCTGGCAGCGGACGTGGACACATTGAAAAGTGGCTCCATGGGGGAGGAGGACAGCACTCCCAGTACAGCAGTGGTGCTGCATGAGTCCGGGTTGGTTTCCTTCTTTGGAGTTCCTCGCACACAACAGCTGGCTGCCAACTGCAGCCACACTGGAGGCTCTGTGGGGGCTGGCACTGCTCTGTGCTGCCTGTGAAGGTTCCCAGCAGCACCCATGGCAGCAGTGCTCCCAGGGCATACCTGGCCCAGGAGTTGTGCTGCAGCAGGGCAGCTTTGCTAACAGCCCCAGTCACAGCGTTCTACAGAGCTCTGTGACAATCAGATGGGCCATTGCTGTGTGTACTTTTCCTTTTGAGATACCTTTTGGGAATTATTGCCTTATTCCCACCTCATTGCTGGCTGTCTCGTCCAGCACCATCCTCAGGAGCTCATTGCCCTGGCACCATCCATGCTAGCAAAGCCCTGCTCCTGCTTCCCGAGCACACGGCAGGCAGCTTGGGAACTTTGGGAAACACCTCAGAAAACGAACATTTCCAACCAACAACATGAAACAAACAAGCCACCCCCTCCCCACTCTGCTCTGTATTCTAAGTCAGATTCTGTGTCTAAATTCACAAATTCCTTGGAAGGTTTACAACGGTCAGAGAACTTTAGAAACTGACAGGTAATGAATAAAGCCTTCCCAAAGGTAATCCTTGTTCTCAAATTTTAATTGAAAAGCTTCGAGGCTGCTGTATGAACCTTCTCCAGTAACCTTCCCTAATATTTCTGCTTTTTGCCTCCCTCTCCTGCCACGAACACATCACACAAATCAGAACAACAGCGCAAAGCCTCCCGAGAAGCACCCAGAGACTGCTCAGCATCCTTCACACGTGGCTCAAGTTGTCTAAAATTGGAACAAACAACAGAAGGCAACAAATAATCTGTCAGTTTTCGATTCCAAAGAGCCCTTTGTGGTGTTTCTGTGCAGCGCTACATGAGAGCTCTCCCTGGGTTCTGGGGCCACCAGTCCCAGTGGGGAGGAGGTTTCACAGAATGCAGCCTCTGGGAATCCCATCTGAGGGGTGGGAGCAGGGAGAGCCAAGAAAGTGATCGGCCTGAGAAAACACAGACACCACTTCCACATCTTCAAACAAAAGATATTCGTATGTCTATTTTCAAACATCTACCTTTTATATTTAAATCTTATGTGAAAAAAATGGAACTAATGATTTTGTCAAGTACTGAAATAACAGAGGTGTCTTTTTAAATAAGTATCTCTCCCGCAGATAATTTCAGAAGCCATGGTACTCAGGTGGGTGTTTCTTGCTGACACGGTTGAAAGCAAATGCTGAAATTTCCATAAAGTGCATTTTCCATTTTCTGCATAGTCCAGACTGTGATTATGTCCAGAACTGCTCAATAAAATACTCAGAATGCATCCCTGGAGGCATTCAAGGCCAGGCTGGACATGGCTCTGGGCAGCCTGGTCTGCTGGTTGGCGACCCTGCACATAGCAAGGGCTTGAAACCAGATGAGCATTGTGGTCCTTTGCAACCCAGGCCGTTCTATGGTTCTGTGTGCATGCTGCTGCAAGCTGAGGCCATGAGGTGTAAGTCATTTTCATCGGGTGTCCATCAGTTGAGCAGGGACACACAGCAGCACAGGGGAACGTAAAGAAAAGAGGTGGAACTATTTCTTTATCAGCACTTAGAGAGACAGCAGGAAGAGCAGCAGTGGCCCAGGGCCCTACCGATCAGCTCAAGGAGATCCCTGGAGGACCCCAGAACACAGGGTGCTGTGCTGAGCCCTGGGTGCTCCCCCTGGCAGAGGACGTGGGCTCCTGGGGGCCCTGCTGGCTGAGGCAGTGCTGTGGGATAGGGCTGTGTGCAGCACAGGGTTATCAATAACTGCAGTCGTATGTGGGTGAATGAAAACATTTTCTTCGCCATATGGTATACTATGGAAATAATTGCCAGATGACAGAAGCTCGCTAATATTGATGCCAAATACATAGATATTACTGTCAACTTGTGATCAGCCTACATTTTCCTATTTTTAAGACACACAAGTAAGCGCAGTTTGAAAATACCCACAAGGAGCTTCACAGAGAAGAACTCTGCAGAAAGTAGAAAAGCACGGACATGGTTTAACTGCTCAGAACTCTTCGGATCACAGTGAACCATTACGCAAAGAGGTCACTTGACATAAATTGAAGCTAAGCAGCTGGCACACAGCCCCCTGGCAGCACCTCGTGTGGTGCACCCTGCAGGAGCGTGCAGCTCTGCCAGCTCAAGGCAGGTACACGAGCAGCACGATGCAGTGCTTATCAACAAATGCATTTGGAGCATCAGGGAAGTACAAAATTGTTACTGCGGTAAGCATCCTTGCTACTAACAGAAGGTCAGCTTATGAAATGAATATTGTTTTATATGCGACGTATTCCAAACTTACAAACAAACCACAGTTGTTCCTTGGATATTTTTCAGACAGGAGATGTACACACGAGCCATTGCTGAAACTATCAGATCTAAACCACATTCCCTGAGTGAGAGATCCATGCTTTGCAGCAGCTTGCACGGAGATCCCTCGCTATCACAGCCTGAGTTTACAACTTGCAGCAGACGGGATGTGCTACGTGCCGCAGCCTAACGAGCGCGGACAACCTGTGAATCTGTGCTCGACAGCCCTGGCCATACTTCTGTGTTCGGATCTCATTGCTCACCAGGGAGCATTTTGTCTATATTACCTCCGACACTCGCACAGACGTTTCAGCCCTGGGAGAGCAGCTCCCACAGCTCGTGGAGTGGGCAGACAGGCTGCAAATGCAGAGAGGGAGGGGTCGTGGTGTTGGGACACTCTGCCTGATGGTACAATCCCTGTTGTGGGGCTGGTGGCAGGGCACAACCTTCCCCCAGTACCACAGTAATCCCCTCTGCAAGGGCTCCCAGCCTCTGTTCTGAGCGATAAGATGGAGGCCACTGATCACAGAGTATCACATAACCCAACTTGATAACCTGATTAACGTGCTGGCTTCGTATCAGCCCTCTCTGTTCTCTATTTGATTTACATGTATAATTTAGCTTACTCATTTAATCTCATTAATAAAATATCAGATGGGAAGTCTGTGTGGATTGCATGTTTTCTCCCCAGGTATTAGGATTAAAAGCCCAAGGAACCTCCGGATAGTGACTTTGTAAATCTCCAAGAGCTGTTACAAAGAAGTGCCTTATAGCACTTCCATCACTGATGCTCAAATCACAGCACTGCTGGAGTCCGGAGGAAACAATATTTGCATATCAGTCACTTTTTTCAACTAACAACAGGGGTTTCGGAGCCACTGAGGAGAGGCTGTGGTGGATGCAGATCAGCCATCAGGAAGGTTGGTCACTTCCCTGGGAAATCAATCTCTGCTTCTCGTGGCGCCATTAACCGAAAATTCACCTGCTCCATTTGTACTCAATAATAAGAACAGAGTTCTGACATCACTAGGAAATGCACACAAATTACGCAATGAAAATGAATCCAACTCTGACCACGCTTATGGCCGAGGGAGGAAATGGAATTTCATGGTCATGTTATCAGAGACCAATTATCCTTCTGAACAATAAGGAATTTGTATGAGATTTAACAGCAGAACAAGCAGAATACCCACCACAAAGCATGACTTATCTGACCCATCTCAGGCCAACTGCATGGCTCGTATCCTGAATACTCACAGTCCATCCTCAACGTGGCACTTTAAAAAGCTACGGTATCCGTCAAATAAACTGAAATAACCGCGAGAAATGAACCACAATCTGCTCATGTATGGTTGGCTTACAAAATAAGCTTCACGCATCAAAAAAGTGCATCTTGCCAACGCACACACTTTTTATTTCTGGTACATAACTCATCTGCCTGTGCACGCTTACGCACACAAACAGACGCTTCGTGCAGAGCCAGTCGGAAGAAATACTCTTAACAAATTTTACTCAAATGTAACGTGGGGTCTGCTACTGAGGGTGATATAGATAAATCAATCTGTTTGCAAGGCTACGGTGTGAGGAAAAGCTTTTCAACATCATTTAAACGTTTTGAGTTGTTCCAAATAACCCGATCGCTGCTGTAACACCTGCCAACAAAGCACTCCTGTGCAGATTCTCAAACAATAAATCTAAAGTAACAAGCAGAGGAACTTTAGAAGATCGAGATAGACGTTATTAGCCTAAAAGTGAACATCTCTGTTGACTTAGCGAGAAGGTTTAAAAGCGCTGTGTTCAACCTGAAATACCAGCATAATCATTTTACCTGACCACAGCGCCATGAAGTGCTTTGTATCAAGTGTAAACCTTTAAAGCCTCAGCATGATTTTGTTTTGTTTTTTTTAATCATGGTGGTTTCATTTTTTTTTTCTAAGCTTATATCACCAGATACGTTCATATTTTCACGTGCCTCTACCACAAACACCTTCAGAAACAGTTTGTGACTTCAATCGTATTTGATGTGAAGACAAAGGTCCAAATGGCAGAATGTTCCTAGTGATGTCATAACATTAAGTAACCAAAATCTTACTAGTGCTCCTTCTGAGAAATAACCTGCAACATGAGCTTATGCTTTTTCAGACACCAAAATTCAATCTGAAATGCAAAATAATGGGAAACTAGGCTAGCTCAAAACCAAATTAAATATTAATTAAAGATAAATAAACAAAAAGTATACGTCTGAGAATCTAAGATGCTTCCAGGTAGGTTGCTCCTATTGGAAATGTCAAACACTTCCAGCATTTTTCTGAAGAAGCTTTGCTTCTTATATTAGCTCTGGGTATGCCTTCAGCTAAAGAATCTCAATGGCATCAGAAGCCTTTCCCACACAACTGCTTGGTAGCAATGATCAGCTCTTCATCCTTGCTTTCAAAGACATGTTTTTCAGACCTCAGATCACTATAGCCTTTATTTTCCTCGAGCCTTTCCAAACTTCTTGTATCTATTTTGAAGTACAGAAACCCACGACATAGCGCAGCAATCCGTGCTGCAGCAGCAGCCCCAGTACTGCTCCATCTCCTCCTCGTACCGTGGATTTCTCGCTGTGTATTCAAAGAATGGATGTCTGCAGATACAAAACCAGCAGTAACTTTTTTTTTCGTAGACACACAAACTCAATTTAGAAGGTATATTCAAACTCAGCATTCAGTCAACCTGGTTGGCTTGAAGAAAGAACTACTGGTTTTCATGAGTGGTGCTTTTGGAAAGCATCACAAAGGAAGGACAAACTTATGGCCTAAAGAATTAGCTCTAATGCATAGGTGAGATGAACCTAGCCAAGAATAAAGCAGAGACGAAGCAAACTTACGCAGTAGTGTGATTATTTGGCACATAGACATATTCTGATGTTGGAGACTGACAGACCAGCAAGAGAAGAGCCAACCTAAACAATGCAGCATTTAGAACTGTAAGAAATCTAAGACTTAATTTCAAGGCTTAACTGAAATCCTAGAAATCCTGGTCATGGCTCCTTCCTTTGTGTGGAAGGATAGAAGAACAAGCAGCTGCCACAACCACCAGCAGCATCTGAACACCTCCAGGAAATCAAACACTGAAAGGCTGGGAGAAGTGGGTTTGCCCAGGGCAAAATCTGGGAAATGATATTCTAATTTTCATCATTTGTTAATAATTAGTCAAGCGATTTGAAATAACACCTCTGCTGCAAAAGTAATGTCGTGTCATTTACACTCAATTTCCAGAAGTTAAGGCATAGCAGAAATACAATAATCAGCACTTGGTTCCTAAATTATCAGCACGGACGTACAGGGATGTTTATTTGTGAAATTTAAATTGAAGGTGGCACAGCATTAGGAAACCTAGATACAATTGGAGAAGAGAAATTAACGTGAGTACAGCGAGGAACAGGGAGGGCAGGGGAGGTGATGGGCCGGGCCAGCTCAGTGTGCCAAAGCAAATCTATAGTGAGAAACAGTAATGCTGTCCCAGCTTCTCAAAAAAGTTATGTATTTCATTCCTAAGTTTGTGACAGGCAGAAGGAAGGTCATACCGGGTAACAAAGCACGTTCCATGCCTTCTGCAAGGCCTTGGAGCAGCAAGCCTTGACTATTTTGAGACAGTTCCTTCATTTTCACGGGCTGCTTCCCTCAGCAGGAGGAGCCGTGCCCAGCGTTCCAGTGCTGGCTGCTCTGTGAGGAGACAAAGCCATGTCACAAATATTGTCCTGTGTGCGAGATGGGATGGATGAGCAGTGACACATCTGCAGTGAGCCTGGCACCCAAACTGTGCGACTCTACCTCCTCTGCGCTGCTGCTGCTGAGCAGCATCACACAGAAACTTTAAAGAAGAGATAACTGGGGTTTAAGCAACCAGGAATTAGGAACCTCCTTGACACCATTTATCACGTAATGAAGAAAAGCTGAGAAAAGCTCAGTATGTGTTATACAAGACCTTTCAAAACCTTCAGCTGCAGTCCTTCTCTGAGCAGCATCTCTCCTGCTGCAGGACGATGGCTTTATTGCTGCTTGCTGACAGTCCTGGCTGCTGCAGGAGCACCACGTCCTGCACTGCTGCACTGCAGGAGCTGCTTCCACACACCAAAAAGAAGAGCTTTCCAGTGTGCATTCTGGTAACTCACCCAAAATAAGCTTATCAATCACATATGATTAGGTTGTCAGCCCTTAAATTAGGGTGCTGTACTACTTAAAAAAAGCAAGTGTATATACTGCAGTAAAGCCATGAGAAAGAAGAAAAGAGTTCTAAGTGTGGTTTTTATAGGCAGAGAAAACCCAAGCCTCTCACCTTTCTCATTATTCTAGTTAAACACTCGAGTTTGGTTAACATTTCAGTTGAATAAATCCAAAGCATATTTGATAGGAGACATTTAAATCTTCCATTTGTGACCATGCAGATGACCTGAGCACAATATTGTCACTGCAATGTGTTTATGAAATATTAAAGTCAGCAATAGTTATCAACAGCCAGTGCTGCAAAGATACAGAAACATCAAACCCCTTTTCCAAAGGCTGCACAGAGTGATTCAGTGGGAAGAACTGGCTGAAACAAGAGGCGGGTCCCACAAGTAGAGCTGGCTTCAACAAAAACAGGCATTTGATTAAAAAACACCTTATTGGCATCTGTAGGAAAAACACCATAATTTTAAGTAAAACTGTTGTGGAGAGTTGCTGCATTGTGTTGGTTACACAGCACAGCTTGCACACACTGCACCATGCACCACCAGTGCTGCACAGATGAGGTGGCACACGATGGGCTGGCAGTGCTCTGCCATATGATTTGCATCATCCAGTGTAACATGCTCTGAGTTCACAGCTCCAATATTGATATATTTATTTCTATTCAGATCCTAAGCAGTACTTTGTATGTAATCTAATTAAGCAAGCTGTATCATGAACCTGTGAATTGGCTCTTCTATCACACGGTCAGCTGTATCTGCTGTTGGTTTTACACCATCATCTTACTACTCTTTGTGCAGCACATCCGAGCCAGAGGTTTACAAACAGCAAAATCCTCCACTTCTTCCCCTTGAAAAAACTTGTTATAATTGTCTTCTCACTTTCATTAATTAGGAATTGACACTGAGAAAAATGTTATACTGTTCTTGAATAGGTCATTTGTGTTTCTGTCTGAAACATAACAAGTATACTGCTATCATTTTACATATCCCCTTGGATGTCAAGATTGAGATGCAGGGCACTGCAGCCAAACCTCCCAGCGCTCCCCATCCAGTAGAGGAGGTGCCTGAAGGCCCCCAGACTCTCCCTGGGCCCCTTTGGGTTAACAGCCAGCGACATTCTGTTAGTCTTTGGGATGCCACAGAGACCGAGTGTCTGACGGCAAATTTCCCGATGGATTTTTTCCTCCTCAGATTTCAGAAAGATTTTCATCTTTGGCATCAATATGTATTTCAAACATGAATAAGTGGCAAAATCCATTTTGAAAATATCCATCATTTAATGAGCTCTGTGACGAGTTAATTCCTTTCTTATGTTGAAGGACTTACCCAGGAATAGCATTTTACAAAACAATACTTGTAATAAAGATTCTGATCCAGCGGCTTTGATTATTGCTTTAAAAGCTAAGAAAGAATCAGCAGTTTTCAGCAATGAGAAGAATCACCTCACTCTGGAAACATCCCAACGAGGTAAAACTGAAAACACTGGAATTTAACCCAACACTGCATTCATCTCACCATTTTGATTGATGATATTTTCTTTGCAGGGACATGCAATAGATAAAGTGAAAGCAATCAATACAGGATTCTGTTCTTTTTTTAATTTATTTTTGAAGTTTGAGAGTCACTTCTGAACAGATTTGCAAGCCCTCGCTCACGGTCACACCCTCATCTCAGCACCAGGCACACAGAGTCCTCAAGGTGTGGGCAGGTTGGGTGCAGCTGTGGGGAGGTGAGCACCGATAACGATCCCTAATGAGAACAGAGCAGGTTTTCGTGCTTCCCATGGCTCTGCCCATGCTGCACTGCCAGGCAGGATCAGCAGCCCCGAGCATCCCTTCCTGCCACGGCACTGAGGCTGATGAAAATCATGCTCAAAACACACAGTGTGATCCTCGCTAGCAGGCAGCCCCTCTGAGAATCGCTGCAATCATCCCAGCACTTTGTGAAGCACGAAGGACATCATTGCAGAAACTGTACAAGCAACAGCAGCAAGTTCTGCAGCAGGACAGGGGAGAGCGATGCAGACAAGGACAGAGAAACTCCCACCATCACAAGCAGGTAGGTGAGGTAAAATGACTGCACAGTGCTGTAACAGATCGCTTGCCACAGCAGCGGCTCAGATACGCTGAAGCAATCAAAGTGGAACATGATCTGGTGGAGCGGTTAGTGGTAGCTGCTAGAAATTAATCCCATAAAACTCCAATCTGATTTGTTGGCTTTTATTGACCAACAGCTCAGTGCTAGGTGGAGCGTTGCACAATCGGCTTCCCGTCAGCAGCGCCATCCTTCAGACAGGCAACAAGCAGATCTCCTTATCTACGCTCCGGGCACTGGGAGAGAAAGGAGATAATCATCTCTTGGCACGATGCTGCCTACATAACAGCCAGGTTTAAACCGGCAATAATGTCTTTAAATCACAATTAGCAACACTTCAGCAGCTGAGTTCATCTGAATAGGAAGGTCAGCAGGAAAGGGCTGTAGGACTGCTTGGTGACACCAACCCACAGCCGAGTTTGGGCACTGAGGAGCACTGACAGCTCCAGCACAACACACTGCAACATGCATCAGGGCCACACACAGATCACCAGGCTGCAGTAACACTTAGACAGGTTTTGGCTGACCTCTCAAGAGCTCACAGGCTCTGAAGAGGCACAGAGCAGCCGTATCCTCAGCTCTCATTCTGTCTTCTGCTGTCATTTGGAACGTGCTGTTTCCATGCTGCTGCCGTTCTGCACTTCCACCTCTCCCCAAACACCACAGCCCTGTCATCCCACTGCCCCAATACTCATCTGCTCTGGGTGTCAGGCTGAGAATCCAGGAGCTCTGCCCCAAGATGCCTGTGCCACTGTGCAGCAATACACAGACCTGTCCATAAGGTCCTCGCATTTGTCAGTGTGATAAACACCATTATCTCTCCAAAGCTGAGTTCATTACCTGCTCTGATGCTATCAGTACTTAACAGAGTACTGGCAGATGAGGTGAAGAGAGCATTAGGAAACCGATTGCCTTCACATTAGGTGTCTGTGTGGATAAAAGCAAAAAAGCCTGTGTATTTATAGAAACATTAATAATTATAGATGCCATTAATGCCAAGCCATCCTAATACTGAAGCCACATCAATTTAAATTTAAAAACAAGCTATCTGCATGGCTTCCTGCAGCGTTTCAGGTTAGAGGCACATCTCCTCTGAGTGTTTTAATATATTTTTATTAAAATGAACAGAAATGTGTACTTTTTTCAGCTGTCTTCATACAGCTGGATAACCGATGGTAATAACAATACCTTATTTCAAACCCCAAAAGGTATTTTGCGTATCTTGCTTGTCATAATTATAAACACTGGAGAAAAATCTCAGCGCTGCTAACTTCTGCTCGGGTTATTTGGGTGCCCCAGAATATTCAGCAAACACTCTCAGGGCTGGGCTGCCCTCTGTGCAGCCAAGGCAATCTCAGCACTCAGGATTGCATTGCAGAGGAGCGCTGAGCTCCTCTTCAAAGAGAGCAAATCACAGAGGTACATCTGCAGCTGGGTTCCCTAATGACCTCTGCTTTAGGTCTGGAACAAAGTTCCAAGTGAAAAGAAAGGGATCAGGATATCAAAAGGGGGCAGGGAGGAATCAGAAGAGCTGGGTTTCAGCTTCCACGGTTCCAGATGCTTGCATCTATTCTGAATTTTAATGCCCCCATCAGTGAAACCTGACAGAGGACAGAACTCCTCTGCCACTGGAGCGCTCAGCCTGGGCATTCACACACACCCTCACTCAGTCTGAAGTCATCAGTGGCTTCCTCCAGGTTGTGCCCAGCAGCCATTACAACATGAATTGCAGCAATGAATCTGATCAGCAGCAGCTGGAGAACAAATCAAGTGAGGTCACTCACTCTCTTTTCTCCCACTTAATCTTCTAACCCGTATGAGCTAAGAAATCTCTCTCCTATTTATTGGGGCCGCTCTTACCAGTAATAGTTAGATGTGATCTAGTCGGGCTGGCGTCACAAGCAAGAGAAACAGAAGAGGCTTTTCTGAAGCTACTGGGATTCAGAGCCGCCTTTCTGGTGCGGAGCAACACTGAGACTCAGCTAAAAATAGGCTGTACAATGGAGGAAGACCTGCACTTTATAGGGACCACACACTACAGCAAGATTGGTCTCTGTTGTTTGGTATTGTGCCACAGATTTCAAAGGAAGTCCTTGGGAGGTGTGAAAGAAGGCATTATTTAAGGCAGGGCTCTCCAACTCGGGAGTATTTGTTAACACTGCTGTGAAAATCTTACAGCTCTTTACAGAAAAGAAGCATTTCTCACCAATCCCGCACTACAGACAGAAATGAAATTAAAGTCTTACCTTGACCGAGCTCAGATTCAAGGCCATCTGAAACTCAAATTCTTCACAAACCATGGTTCTCAGACATCAAATCTATCACCTTATTAAAAAGCATACTCAACTGATGGACTTTTCAGTCCAGAGATCTTCGCAATAACTCAGTTTGAGTTTATCTGTACTTGCATTCCAAATATCTTGCCATAGAGATCACGGTTTAAAATTTACCTGCATGCTTCTCATTGAGTGGCAGGTGACTTCTGTTACAATCCTATTGCTGGAAGCATTCTGTGAATACTTCATTAGTTACAAACAGATTGGCCTGCAGACTTGTTCTGTGCTACCTGCTTAAAATATTGTGTACCCTAGAAATGTATCTGCTAGCCAGAGGCAATTCAGTGCGCGCAGGTTTCATTTTGCCTGCAGTAATGAACACTGCATCTCGACAGTTAAGATACATATTTTAGGGGGAAAACTCCTAATAAGCAGCAATGTTTCTACCTTCTAGATTTACTTAAAGAAAGCAAAATTTTGTTCATATCCCCAAAAATCAACGATACTTTGGTTTTACTTCAGGAACGGCACAAAGAGATGTGACACAGCATCAGCATCTCACAACAGACTTCTCAAGGGAAGGCTTTGATCATCTGAAACCCTGATGGCAGTTATGCTTTTCCTACAACATTTCTCTTCTAGCTCCTTCCCACATTTAGGAATGCTTCTCAAAACCAGATTTGGCAGATCAGAATAGACTCTTCTTCTGCAGTTCTCATTCATTATCCATACGCAACAGTTCTCTGAACTTTGATACCCTGGTTTTCTTTTGTTTAGATATACATACATATATATCTGTGTGTGTGTGTGTGTGTATATGTATATATATATATATATGAATACAGAGAGAGATTTAACATTCCTCTTGAAGATATAGAAAGATTCGTGGACATTTCTTGTACAGAAGAGAAGCACAGTTTAATAACACGCTTCCAGCTCACACACGTCCCCCTCCACAGCTGTGTGCAGTCAGGACAGAGCCCCATCCCCAGGCTGGCACACAGTGGCACTGGCCTCAGCACCAGCTGGCTGGGCTCTGCCTTCAGGTTTGATAGTGGGAGTGCTGGGGGAGTACAGACACTGACAGCACACACACACGAAATCACAGGAAGGCCAGAGTTCACCACTTGTACCACGCAGCAGCTCAGATACAGAGATGCCCCAAGAGCAGCTGCACAGTACTGGAGGGGCAGTACTCAAGGTAGGAATCCAGCTCTCTGAACTTGCAGGTCTTCAGTAGCAAACATGCTATTTTAACTGTGCTGTAAATTCTTAAGGGCAACCAATGGAGAAGGGAGATGAAAGACTGGAACTGCCCATGTCAGGCTTTGAGAAGGTTACATTGATAACTACCCCCATCTATGCCCTTGACTCCCTCATTCAATCTATTCTTAATCCTAGAAGCATTAGCACAAGTCCTAGTTTCTCCCCAGACTCTACAAGGCACTTCAGCCTTGTCTGCCCAAAGCAGTGAGACTCCCAAAGAAAATCCTCAGCCTTCAAGTTGGAGATGGAAAGCAAATCCACATTCACATGCACAGCTCTTGCCCTCTTAGGCGTTGCTTCCACCCTCAAAAAGCCACACAGAGGAGATGTCCCACTGCATGCAACACCTCTCGCGAAGGATGCTGAGGATCAACCTAATGGCCACAGCAGAAGGAAGCAGGAGGAATTTGGGACCATAGGACACAGAGCCCAGAGGAGAGACACTGGCACCAAGCATATTTCATTAGCAAATACGGCCTTAAGAAGAGAAAACTGGGGCCCTGCAGGGTGACCTTGCTCCTGTCTGTGCATTAGCACCTTCAATGGACTCTGGTGATGTTAATCTAAGCAGGGGCTGCAGGCAGGCTGAGCTCTAGCAGGGGATGGCTGAGGCTCACCCTCCTCACACACTGCAGGATGCTGCAGGCAGAGGGACAGGGTCAGAGGTGAGCTCCTATGGAAGGACCTTGCCTTCAGCAATAGAGCCTGTGAGCCACCAAGCCTCTAAGGGGAGAAAATTGATGCTGTTTTGCAGCATGCAATAGAAGACAAGGACATTTATATGCTTAAACACATTTATTTGAATATAAAACTCGAAATAATGTTTAGAACTGCAGACACTTGTAAAGTTATTGAATATAGCTCAGGCACAAATGGAAAAGGTACAAAACATGAGAACGTTGCACATGACAGCCTGCATAATGAACACTGGGAAACGCCATTCACAGCTGCATGTGGCAGCAAGCTGCTGTTTGCTCAGCAGCTTTGAGGTGCACACAGCAACCCAAATCCAGGAGCCCAGAATGCTTCCATCCACAACACTGTGCACAACGGGAACAATGCTCCAAACAGAACAGAGCCCTGCAACAAACCGCGGAACGATGGGGATTGGAAGAGGCCCTAAAGATCACCTAGCTCCAACCTTCAGCCATTAATTCATCTCATCAGTTAATGAGATGGAGCAAATATTCACTTGAAGTCTTGTAATTAAATATCATTTAATTATTATAATTAGGGAAGGAAAGAACGCAAATCTCTTTGAACAGCAATGCTGCATCTCTCACAGTCACTGTGTGCCAAAGCAGACACAATGAGCTGCTGCTGAGCTCAGCCAGCACCACCCCACTGCCACAGCTGCAGGGCTGCCACCAGCCCTCAGGGACAGCCTCACATGAGCTGTACCCTGTCTGCTCCTCTTCATAAGCAGGACAGGAGCCGGCACCATGCTGAGCCACGGGCCTGAGAACACCCCTCTGCAGCACATGCTTTCAAAAGGGCAGCTAGCTCCAGCAGATACTGCCTGTGGGTGCTGCCCTAAAATGACCAAGAAGGGGACCAAGTGAAGGCCCACAGCACATTCTGTTGTGTCCTTGGCCACACAAAGCTAACATGCTCAATATGAAAAATAAAAACAGTAAAATATACAAATTTTGAGAGGTCTTTCACGAAGACATCCTGCTTCTCTGCAGCACTGAAATAGAACAGTAACTGTGTTATCTAGCTTGAATCATTCAGCTATTACACTTTTCCAAGGTTTAGATGCTGCCCTCTGCAACCATCATGGAGACCCGAGAGGTAAAAAAGTAACTGTGATTCTATACCAGAGTAGGAGAAGGAAAGCAAGTGTGACTCACATTGAGCGAGGGTTGGCAGGAGGAAATAGAGCTGGCTTGCTGTTTGTTTGCTTTCTGTTTAAAATAAAGCTCAGAAACGCATACAGAGCACGGAAACTTCTATTCCTCAGTAAATTCCTGCAGCTGGTTGAAACTGTAATTTGTTTTCATTGTTGGCAGCAGCAGGAGTATCATATAGACCAAGTGCAAGTCCAGGATTGGCTCTCTCCCAGTCTAGATTTTTGAGTAACAGGTGCCTAGGCCTAATAGCATCCATCTCTCTTATTGAAAAAAAAATGAAATGCAATTTTTAAGATCTATTTCTGAGAAGAGTAAATTATTTACTTCCTGATTTACTGCCATGCCTTTCTGTTTTTGTTTGTTTTCCCCATCTCTTCTCAGAGTCCCTCCCATGTCCATTAAGAACAGCATTAGTATCAAGGCAAATGGGCTGTATTTACGCAGGCAAGCACAATCCCATGTCTGCTCTCTGGCAATCCATATGTGGGCCTGCTCACTGCCTGCTACCTGCTTTAGTGGAATCTCACTGCTC